AAGTTTAGAATGAACCCTGCCAACGTAAGAAACGTCCAAACTTGTAGAGAATTTTTATGAGTTTATTTCAGCCAAACTGATGACAATTTCCACATACTTCTTTTACATTGGTGGGTATAGGATAGTAAACAATTAACATCTACAGCACATAAAGATGGTATTTGGGCAACAAGATAGCAGTGAGGGTGAGACAGGCCAGTAAGCCAGGACAAGTGGAATAGGGAAACTGAGACAGGTAGCTGAACAAACTAGCTGACCAATTTACAGCCAGATACAGAAGGTCACCTCCATAGAGATAACATCTGGGCCTCAGATGTATTTCAGCTCCAGGCCCACAAAAGCAGCAAAACCAGGTGGGTGGCACCAGGACCAGCTGCACTGACTAATGACCCCCTGTCTTGACCTGACCATTCAGTGAAGATCTCGACCCTGAAAGAACACACCTAGACAACTGTTGAATATTCTGCTAAAACCCTCCCCTGAGACCTCCCTTAAAATTTCCACCAGCAAGAGAAAGATAAAACCCTTGAGACAGCCCTGGCCAATGTGGCTCAGTTGGTTGGCCTGTCATCTTGTACACCAAAAGTGCAGGTTTGATTTGAGACAAGGGAGCCTTCCCTTACCATTCCCTTCCCTCTCTTCTTCCCCCACAGGCACGCATCTCCTAAACTCTAAGGGACCCCATGAGACTTGCAACCAGGGGAGCAATAGGCAGAGGCAGCTTGTCCCAGGCTTACCCCCCGAACCTGTCTCCAAGGCTCCTTTGTCTCTCTCACTTCTCAGTGAGCCAAAGCAGCCCAGCCTAGACTCTCCTGTTGCTTTTTCTATGCTAAGCCCTCCCTTGTTTCACTGTCCCCAGCTTTAATAAACATTCTCTCATAGTCACCTGGACTCGTGCTGTGACACAAAGCCAGGAACCCACACACTACAGCTCGGCCCTAGGCAGACCCACTAAGGGCCAGATCCCCTGTCAAGTCAAAAGGGGTTCCTGTGGTCTGTGGTCTAGTGCTTTGGTGGGAGATTGTGCCCTGAGGGGTTTGGAAAAAGGGGATTACTCTGACATTCTAAAGGTATGTTATCATACATGCAAAAAGACACTAGACTGGCTCAGTTAAGGTAAAGATTGACCTTTGTGACAGAAGATATGGGCCTAGAACATGATCCCCATCCATGACTCACTTATAGGTAGGAATTTTTATGTTCAGACCATCCTATGTAGTTACTTTAGTTCTTTGAGTTTGTAAGGCCTGCCATGCAGGCCTTCTCTGAGCTCATTAGGTTTAGTATGTGACCCCTTTTCCATCCACAACCCCATGGTGCTGCATTTTGAATGGGAGATATCAGTATGAACTCATGATTTAAAACTATATCCAGGTGAAGGGCATACTGTTTACTGTTTTATATCTATATGAATATATATAAGAGAAACTAGGGTTTCTCTGCCTAGGACAGAGAAAATGCAATGAAAGCCCGTAGGAGTTATGTCAGAAAGCAAGGAAGTACTCCACTGGCCAAGTATGGGCAATTTGAACACCAAAAATAATAGTATTTAATTATGATAACTGAATTAAAAAGAATCTAGAAGTCTACACTATTATTCAAAACGAAGGAAGAGGGGAGAGGAGGAGAAGNAATTAAAAAGAATCTAGAAGTCCACACTATTATTCAAAACGAAGGAAGAGGGGAGAGGAGGAGAAGAGGAAAAAAAGAGAAAGGGAAAAAAGGGGGAGGGTACACTTCTTTAGGCAGTCATGACTGCTAATAAACACAGAAGGAATAATGGAATTAGAAAATTACTTTAGCCCAGCCGGGCGTGTCTCAGCGGTTGAGCATTGACCTAGGATCCAGGAGATCAGGGTTCAATTCCCGATCAGGGCATGTGCCTGGGTTGCGGGCTCGATCCCCAGTTGGGGGCATGCAGGAGGCAGCNGAAAATTACTTTAGCCCAGCCGGGCGTGTCTCAGCGGTTGAGCATTGACCTAGGATCCAGGAGATCAGGGTTCAATTCCCGATCAGGGCATGTGCCTGGGTTTCGGGCTCGATCCCCAGTTGGGGGCATGCAGGAGGCAGCCGATCAATGACTCTTTCATCATTGATGTTTCCATCTCTCTCTCTCTCCCTCCTTTTCCTCTCTCTGAAATCAATAAAGATATACTTTTAAAAAAGAAGAAAATTACTTTATAACCAAAGCCATGTATTCATCGATATGTGTTACTTCCACCTGGTTTCAGCCTATCACTNCTTTAAAAAAAGAAGAAAATTACTTTATAACCAAAGCCATGTATTCATCGATATGTGTTACTTCCACCTGGTTTCAGCCTATCACTGCAGATACTGTCTGTTGCAGAGGGAGAGAGGTATTTTTGTGGCGAGACCTGCCAGACCACACCTTGACCAAGTGATTGAACTTGGCATCATGGGTAATGGGACAACGCGATGCTGTGCTTCCCTATGAAAGTACACATCACCTTTAACTTTTCTTAGTAAAAAGTTTAACCTGAATCTAATCATAAGGAAACAATTTGATAAATCCAAACTGACACAATCTATGGGACAATTGTCCTGGGCTATTCAAATATGTCAAAGTTAGGAAAGATTTTTTTTTTTTAAATGAGAGGTAGTAGACTAAAGGAGTTTATATAAAGAGGTGTGAAATCAAATGTAACAAGTGACTCTTGGGTAGATCCTGAATTGAAAAAAAAGTGTGTGTTTATGACATTTTGGGACAGCAAAGGAAATTTCAATGTGGATGGTATACTGAATAATATGATGAAATGTTATAAAGTTTCTTGTTTGTGATAATGGTGAGGTATTTAGGGGCAAAGCAGTGTTGTTTTCATCTTTCCAATGGTTCAGGAGAAACAAAACCTGTATAGTGAGAGAGGACACAAATGTTGTGAAACATTAGCATTTAGTGAAGGGTATACTGTTCATGGGACTATGCTTTCAACTCTTCAGCCAGTTTGTAAATTTTGAAACTAAAAAGCTGGGTTAAAAAAAGCCCAGCCCAACCTGTGTGGCTCAGTGGTTGAGCATTGGCCTATCATCCAGGAGATCAAGGTTTGATTCCCTGTCAGGGCACAGGCCTGGGCTGTGGGCTTAATCCCCAGTAGGGGGCATGCAGGAGGCAGCCGATCAATGACTCATCATTGATGTTTCTATCTCTCTCTCTCCCTCTCCCTTTCTCTTTCTTAAATCAATAAAGATATATTTTTAAAAAATACAAATAAAAAAAAGCACAAAATTGGTGTAACTACTATGGAAAACAGTATGGAGGTTCCTCAAAAAACTTAAAAATAGAAACACTGTATCACCCAGCAATCCCACTTTTGGGTATTTATCTGAATAAATCCAAAAAAATAATTCAAAAGAATATATGCACCCCTATGTTCTTTGGAGCATTATTTACAACAGCCAAGATACGGAGGCAACCTAAGTGCCCACCAATAGATGGATGCATAAAAAAGAACTGGTACATATATATAATGGAATGTTACTGGGCGATAAAAATGAAGGAAATCTTACCATTCTCGACAACATGGATGAACCTAGATGGTACTATGCTAAGTGAAACAAGTCAGACAGAGAGAGACAAATACCATATGATTTCATTTACATGTGGAATCTAAAAAACAAAAGAAAGGAACAAACAAACTCATGGATACAAAGAACACACTGATGGTTGCCAGATGGGAGGGGGATGGGGGATGGTGAAACAGGTGAAGAGATTAAGAAGTACACATTGGTAGTTACAAAATAGTCAGGGGGATGTAAACAACAGCCTAGGGAATGTAGTCAATAACACTGTAAGAACTGCAAGGCGCCAGGTGGGTACTAGGCTTATGGGGGATCACTTCATAAGTTATATAAATGTCTAACCACTATGCTGTACACCTGAAGCTGATATAATAAATGCCAACTGTAATTGAAAAAACAAACAAAAAAGAAGTGCAAGTTTACTGCTTTCCAACTGGGGACGTTCAGTGGACAGAAAGAATCAGCACCCTGAGGAGGCTCCTTTTCCGTGGCTCCCGTACAGTCCCTAACTTTCTATTTCACCGCCAGCCGAGCTCAGAGGCCTCAGGAGGCGCCCCCAGATCCCATTCCTGCGAGCGGGGAGCCGGCTACAGGGGGAGCCCGCTCAGCGGTGCCCGGCACCTTCGCCCCAAGCCGCCCCGGCTCCGGTGGGCGTGGCTGGGCGGGGCCGAGTCGAGAGAGGCCAATGGGAGCCAAGCTGTGGGCGGGGCCGGGGCGGGG